CCACCAGGCCCTGCGCGAACTTGCCTCAGACAGGCAAAACCGCACGCGCTGTGCTACCAGCGAGAGCAACTGCTAATGATAGTGTAGCCTCAAATCTTGCCAGCTTTCTTCGATGCTATTTCCTGCTTCATTCCATGAACTGAAGAATCTTGAGAGAGCTCGAGGTGCCATTGTCGAGCAGATCAATCCCGGAATCCTCGTACGCCACAGCCAGCTCGCGGCGGGAGGCCTGGTGATCTGTACTGTCTCGTCTAAGCCAAACCAGAGCACACGAAGTGGTTTATGCTAAGATTCCTATTTTGCTGTATCGTAGCAAAGCGGCCACGGATTACTTGCAAACTGCCAGAGTCTGCCTTCTGTGCCGTGCGTGCCGGGCGCTGCGCCGCCACCGTGCCAAAGACAGCCACGGCAGCCGCACCAACCACTGCGCCAGTGCTGTAAGAGCCTGCGCGGAGCCAAAGCTTGCTGTATCGCATCGCTTTGCGCCAAATGTTAAACAGTCCCACCTGTGGCTTGAGAGCCTCGTGCAGATTGCACCTTGGGGCTGCGGAGACCTGCAGGCATTAGATGGCAGTAGAAACTTTCTCGAGCTCTCCGAACCTGGACGCTACGAAAAGCCTTTCTTGAGGAGCTTGTGTTTGGTCTCGTCTCGCCTTGAGTTCCGGCAGGAACGAAGGTGGGAACGGTGAGACCCGCCACGGCAGCCGCCGCGAGGCCTGTCTGTCCGATGTCTTGCGGCTGGCTGCAAAGGGTGTTCAGAGATGGCAGTTCTCGTACCACAATCCACAGATTGAGTTTATGGTTCGTTCTGTCTCAAAGCTTGCTGCCTCTGGTCTCTACAAGAGGGCAAGACTTCTCGGAACAATGAGACGAAGCGCATGGGAGGCTTTTGGGCCATGCTGTCTCTGGGGCAGGGCTTGTGGATACTGTTGCAAATCCAAGCAGCATGCAGTGGTTGAGCTGCTTGGCATGGCAATCAAACGCGATAAAATGGTAACTCCAAAAAAAATCGCGCTGCGAGCGCCCCTGAGCCACGAAAGGGATACGGATGCAAACATAGGACATCATAGGACATCAGCGACACAAATGAACAGAGATCAGCTGCGCGTGCAGATCGTGCGACAAACGCGATGTTGCCGTGGTTGGCACAAGAAAGACATGCGTGCATGGGCCTAACAGGCGGCACGAGACACGGAGGTATTTCTGCGCTGAGTGGCAATCTGCTACTCAAGCAGGGGGAAGCGCTCGCAGAAGTCACACAGAGTCCTTGCAACGAACTCCATTTTTCCACGCTCGCGGCTTTGATGAAGACTCTCAGGCTCCTCCTTCGGTCAAGAGGGACATTACCAGTAGCCGTGGCTGGTCTCCCGGAGCAAGCCGGTGCCTCGGTGTCGCTGAAGACCACGTGACGCGGCGGTGCCTTCGGCGGCCGGCGTCGCATGACCTGCGGAGCGCTTGCTGCTCAGGCCAGAGGAATGGCGTGGCGGCCGTAAAAAGAGAAAGCTCATGTTTGCAAACTTATCTTGAGCCATTGACCTCCCGCATTGCCATAGTGGCATACTGTCCAGGACCCAATTGAAAATCCAGCACCAGTGACTTTGACCTCAGCCGGCTCTGCGCCTCGCTTAATCTCCCAGCCGCAGATTGCAAGAGGATTTAAGCCAGCAGCTCATCAAGGTCATGTTTGGCGCGGGCACGGGCAAAATGATTCACTGCACGGCTTACCTGCTGCAAGAAAGTGAAATCCATCATTGCATTGGCAAGGAGGGGGCTGTATCATCGTTTTTGCAAAAAACCCTGGGTATCCATGCATGCATCTACGCATGCAGGCCGGTGTAGAGGCTGCTGCGATAGTCACAATAAACGAGCACCCGAGATTTTTCCAGTGCTTCGAGAAGTAAAACGGAGGGAGATGAATCCACGACCATCTTTGCATCCGGTCGGCTAAGGAGATGCACACGCACAGCCGCTAAAACTGCTTGCTCTGGGTTGCCTGGTGAGAGGCCACCTCCAAACCCGAAACACCGAAAAGTTCGAAGCCCATTCCTGGCCTTCGTCCCAGGCTGGTCTGCCCAATCGGTCTCAGGAATGCCAACGTTGGGCTCCAAATACCAACTGCGGTGCAATTGGACAGTTTGGGGTCGAGGGGGGTGGGGAGGAGGATCGTCGATTTTTTTTGATGAGTTCCGTCTTGCTCCAAGGACCTACATAGCATCCCGCCTGAGCTTCTCTGGCCGAATGAGGACGTGTCGCATACAGCCAGTGAGCCGGACGGGATCGTCCGTGTTGGGGGCCTGACGCCAACACCAAGCTGCAGAAAACGCCAGTTGCAATCTCAGAGCTCAGAGGCTACCTCCAGGCCTCCAGGGTCAGCTCCTCGGGGTCGAGGCCGTCGTAAGCAAGATAACTCCGCCTCAGACTCGCTGCAACGCTGGGTCTTCAGCTGTGATGCCCTGCCGGAACATGTTTGAAGCGAAAGTGATTAGCAATGAAGAGGCGTGGAAATCAAGAGCCGAGGATTTCATGAAACGAGCCGAGAAGATTGAAATCTGAACTGTACAGGACAAGGGAGTGATGTGCAAAGTGTCATAGCCACGACGGATTCGCCCAAACTTAGGTCAAGAGTAAGTCTCCCCGAATTCGGGTGTCGATGGCAGGTGCAGAGGATGTCACTGCAGTTTTCAGCTAAACCGCTTTCATATGTCGCACGTGGGTTTAACCACTCTTAACTCCAAAGCCACTGAACGCCAAGAGCAAGACTGGAACAACCTAGCTTGAGTGCCGCTGGCAATGAGTCAGCAGTCCCCCGAATATGCGAAGCCACCCCACGAGCTTCCAGCAACTGCAGTCTACTAGTCGCTCTTCACCATGCAGTCCAAGGGACATAAACTGCCCCACATGATGACCGGGCAAGGACACACCTCCGTGCAGAGCGACTAAGAGACTAACTATGGCACTAGCCCATTTACCACCGCTGAGTGTTCTTGTGCAAACGATCGACAGAGCTCTCCTGCTCCAGGTCGTGGCAGCAGCAAGTGGAAAATCGAGGCCTCAGTGTGCAGATAGCTTGTGACATCGACAGGAGGAACTTTGCTGCTGGAGCCTTTGCAGCCTCTTCCTTCTCCAAGTGCACCGGCCTCACACACCAAGCGTCCGCACTCTGGTCCAAATCAGACATGACTTCAGGAAATCATTCAGGAGGCAAAAAACAACCTAACCGGCCATACAAGGTTTTTTCGCGGGTTTTAAGACCGAAGGAACAAAATAATAAAGAGACACAACACAGAGAGACAAAGAGACAAACAGACGGAGAGACAGAAAGACAGAGACACAGAAGTTGTAGGAAAGAAAGGGAGGGTGACAGAGGGCAAGAGAGAGAGAGAAAAAAAAAAGAGAGAGAAAGAGACAAAATGAGAGGAGGGAAACCAAGAGGGACGGGCCGGGGAAAGCAGAGGTGAGAGAAAGAAGACAAAGAGGAAGAGAGCAAGAGAGACAGAGAAACAGAGCGACAGACAGACAAAGTGAGAGACAGGGAGAGAGGAACAAAAGCAAGAGGGCAGGGAAGCGGAGAAGACAGCAGGGAAAGTGTAGGGTGAAGGAAGCGAGACAAAGGAAGGGAAAGAAAAGGAGAGTCACTGGAGGGGCGGGGAGGGGAGACGCAGAAAGAAAGGAGACGGAGAAGGACGAGAATAAGAAACGTGAGCGTGGAGAGGCAGTCTGCCGGGAGCCTCCGAAGGGCAGGAGGCCCGTGAGGGCAAGGAGCCTTGCACAAGGGCACAAGGCCCAGGAGAGAACAAACAGCAAACCAAGCGCAAGAGACTAGATAATTAGGTGAAACGAGCAAACTGCTCGAAAGAGTCTAGGGAATTTCAAAATAAAAAGCAAACCGAGTGACAGAGATTTGGACTTTGAGAAAACAGAGCAAACGGCTCAAACAAGACCAGGCAACTTAAGAAGACAAGGCGCAAACCGCTCGAAAGAGACTAGAGATATTGAAACAAAAGAGCAAACCGCTTTAAAGGGACAGCACAAGGAGCAAACCGCTTGGAAGAGACTAGAGATATTGAAACAACGATGCAAACGGCTCGAAAAATGCTAGGGAATTTGAGAAGCAAGAGCAAACTGCCCGAAAGAGATTAGAGACTTTGAGAACAAGGAGCAAACCCTTCGAAAGACACTAGAAATTTGAGAACAAGGAGCAAACGGCTCGAAAGGCATGACAGGATTTAGGCAAGAGACTACAGAATTAAAAACAAGTAGCAAACCGCTCGAAACAAGATCCCGAACGATTTGAAGACAAGGAGCGACCAACCGTAAGAGACTGGCGAAAGGGACTAGGGAATTTGAGAAAAAAGGAGCGAACCGCACGAAAAAAACAGAGACTTTGATAACAAGGAGCAAACCGCTCGAAAGGGAGTGAATTTGAGAACACGGGAGCAAGCCGCTCGAAAGAGACCAAAGATTTTGTGAACAAGGTAACCGCTCGGAAGGGGCCATAGAGTTTGTAAACAGGGAGCAAACCGCTCGAAAGAGACTAGAGGCCGTGAGAAGAAGGAGCAAACCTCTCGAAAGAGACAAGAGGCCGTGAGAAGAAGGAGCAAACCTCTCGAAAGAGACTACTGAATTTAAGAACAAGGAGCAAACCGCTCGGGAAAACCGCTGAAACACGACGAGAGAACTTAAGAACACAACGTGCAAAAGCAGGAGCAAACCGCTGGAACACGACTAGGGAATTTGTAAACAAGAAACAAACCGCTCGAAAGAGACTAGAGAATTTGAAAAACAGGAGCAAACAGCTCCTCAGAGATTGCATCATTTGAGCAAAAGGAGCAGGCCGCTCGAAAACGACCAGAGAATTTCAGAACAAGAACCAAACCGAGCGAAAGAGATTAGATAATTTGAGAAAAAGGCGCAAACCGCTCGAAAAAGACTAGCACAAGGAGCAAACCGCCCCAAAGAGACTGGCGAATTGAGAACAGGGGGCAAACCAAGCGAAAGAAACTAAAAAAGCTGAGCTCAAGGAGCAAACTGCTACAAAGGGAAATAGATATTTGGAAAACAAAGGTCAAATCGCTCGAAAGAGACTAGAGATATTGAAACACAAAAGCGTACCGTCCGAAAGGGACAGAAACAGGAGCAAACCGCTTGGAAGAGACTAGTGAGATATTGAATCAAAGAAGCAAACCGCTCGAAACGGACTAGGGAATTCCAGAACCAGGAGCAAACCGCTCGAAAGAGACTAGAGACTCTGAGAACAGGTGCGAAACTGCTCGAAAGACACTAGAGAATTTGAGAACAACGAACAAACGCCTCGAAAATGATTACAAGAGACTACACAATCTTTTTTACAAAAACCGCTCGAAATGGACTAGAGAATTTGAGAACACGGGAGCAAGCCGTTCGAAGCAGAAGAAAGAATTTAGAACAAGGAGCAAACCGCTCGAGAGAGATGCGAAAATTTAGGGGCAGGGAGCAAACCGCTCGAAAAAGTCAAGAAACTTTGAGAACAAGAACCAAACTGCTCGAAAAACTAGAGAAACTAGCGAACCGCTCGAAAAATACTGAAAACCGCTCAAAAGGCTAGGGAATTTGAGAACCAACAGCAAACTGCTCGAAAGAGACTAGAGGCTTTCAGAACAAGGAGCAAACCTTCGAAAGACACCAGAGAATTTGAGAACAAGGAGCAAACCAATCGAAAGAGATTACGGAATTTAAGAAAAAGATTACAAAATTTATGAACAAGGAACAGGCCGCTCGAAATGGACTGGAAAATTCGAAAACACGGGAGCAAACCGCTTCAAGCAGAAAAGAGATTTCGCGAACAAGGAGCAAACAGATATAGACAGACTTTAAAGAATTTCGAATAGACGCGAGAATGAAAACAAGGAGCAAAGCGCTTGAAACGAACTCGAGAATTTCAGAACAAGGAGCCAACAGCTCGAGAGAGACTAGAGAGCCCGCGGGGCAGGAAACCGGCAAAGAAAGGGTTTCAAGCCTGCGAAGCGGGGAGCCCGAGAAGGGCAGCCGGCGAGAGGTAGGGGAGAAGGCCAGGAAGGCGGAAGGCCGTCAAGGGCAGGAAGCGCCCGAAGAGCGGGGAGCCCGTGAAGGGCAGGCAGTGCGCGAAAGAACAAGAAGCCCGCCCAGGGCAGCGAGCCCGCGAAGGGCAGGAAGCCCGCGAAGAGCAGGAAGCCCGGGAAGTGCAGCAAGCCCGCAAAGGGTAGGAGGCCCACGAAGGGCAGGGAGCCCATGAAGGGCAGGAAGCCCGCCAAGGGCAGGGAGCCCGCGAAGAGCAGGGAGCCCAAAACAAATTAAGCCATAAGGATCAAAAACATGCCAAACAGGATCTAAAAAATTAAAACCAGTACCTACATGGAACAGTTGTGCTCGTCGTAGTAGTAGCGCTCGATGCGATCCTCTCGCAGTAGTGGTAGTGGTTCTGGTAGTGGTAGCAGTAGCAATAGTACTAACGCTGGCAATAGTACTAACATTGGTAGAAATAGTAGAACTAGAAAGACTACTTGTACAAGTAGTAGTAGTAGTAGTAGTAGTAGTAGTAGTAGTAGTAGTCATACTCAGAGTAGTGGTAGCGCTGGTAGTAGAGGTGGTTGTGGTAGTAGTAGTAATGGTGGTGGTGGTTATTTATACATGCATATATCCGTCTATCTATCTATCTATCTATCTATCTATCTATCTATCCCTCCATCTATGTAACACACGGTAATGAAGGACTTGCATGAATTACCTACACAATCAATCTTCCAGCATGCATCATCGTTTTTGATGGAAGTGCTATTGTAGGGTTCTCACGACGCACTGTCTGATCAAGATAAGAGCACATTGCGCACCTTCTTGGTATGTATCGCTTGCACTGTGTGCGCAAGGGGGCTGTCTTCAAGATGGTCCGGTTTGGCTGGGTTTGGCTTTATTAGCTTGGCTGGCTTGGCTTGGGTTTGGCTTCTCCCTGTGTGTGTATATACATATATATATATATATATACATTTAACGACATGCAACTCTACTGTAAGAGCAGCGGTCTTTTTCCAAGGTGGGGTCCACTGCAGGCTCCAGCCCTGCTGCACTGAAGTGTCTGTCGGGCTTTGTCTGCTGCAGCACGACACGACTGCTCTCGGACTGGTTCTGCCCCGAGTGCATGGTCTGTAACCGTCTTTTCAAGGACTGAGCTGGGACGTCATTTGCCCCGCGCTCGAACGAAAAATTTAGGGCTTACCCGGAGGTAGTGGCCCATTGACCTGCGATCAGCCCGTCTGCAACGGACTGGCAAGTAGCACAAGCCTGCACAACGCTGAAATCGACTGTTTCAGCCGCTTGAAGACCTGCAAAGACTGTGCGCCCACACAGCAGGCGATCAGCTTGTTTGCAACTGATGTGAACTACGCCGCTGCGGACGTTGGTCAGAAAATGAAAATCTGGATCACCGGCCACCATAGGTAGGCTGTGACTAACGCTCTGAAGTAACTGGGTATCTTCGTCACAGGTGTCTACACTACTGGCTGCTTCACTGGGGCTGCTGTCGTCTGAGAGTGTTGGCGTCTCGCGAGGCTGCTCCGTCTGCTGGACTGGCGGCGCTGCAGAGGAGGCTGCCGTGAGTGCCAGCTGTTCTGCAGGTGGCCGTCGCGCACCGCCTGGAGGACACCCTCGAGCGTGCGTAGCGGCCCCGCCAGCGCGTCTCTGCCGTAGCTGAGCGCGCTGCCGCTCTTCCCTTTACTGTGGTAGCCTAACAAAGTCTGGTCCGAGTCTGAGACAGCGAACTTCATGCACCAGATAAGGCACGTGGCTTTAAGACCTTGACTAGACACGGAAAGAAGTCTATCATGATTGCAGCCAGGCTGTCTCGACAGGATGCACCTGAGCCATCTGGACGCTGTGGCGGAGTCCATGTTGGTCTGCAGGAGGCTGCCGTCGGCTGCCATCTCTAGTAGAAGAGGACTGGTTGCTAAGTCTCCAGAGCAACAGAGGCCCAGGTGCCTCCTGAGGCTGAGCCACTCTAGCGCCCAAGGCTCCTGACAGACTCCGTTTGCTGGGGCCACCAAGGGCAGGAACAGGTTCCTGCGCCGGCTGGCCTTAGTCTGTTTTGGATTGAGCACCTGGCATTCCACATAGACTGGTGCGCCTGTCT